ATCTAATCTATTCTTATTAGCTCTATCTATACTCTGTATTTTGTTTGGTGATTATTCTCCTTGTTCAGATTTTTAAAACTTATTCTAGGAATAACTTCGCTTTTTTTTAAAGTTTCTCATAGATTTACCTAGTTTGCTTGTAAACTGTCTGGTTCTAGTCTTGCGTGATTCGTCTCTGTTTTTTAACACGTGACACGTATTTCAATACCGTGTTTGTTTGTTTACCTGCCTTGCACGTGTTTGTGTTATGTAGCTAATTTGTGTTTCAGGATGTTTTGGGATTCCTAGTTTTGTTCACAAAAAATTTTCTTCGTAGTGAATTTTTGACGAAACTTCTTCTAGGTCACTTTTTAAGCTCAAGTTTTTCTATTTTTCTACTTCTTTATGTGTAATTTTACTTTTTGTATCTCTTTTCTTAATATGCTAAGGAATGTTAATTAGTAAGTTTAATAGTTTATCTATGTATTAACCTTTAGCTTAATTTTGTGACCAAATGATCTATGGAGAGAGTGTCTCAAATTTGAAAATTTTTATTCTGCAGATGTAGATGATATTGAAATAGATAAGATATGAATTGCAAATTTTTGAAGTTCGTATAAGACTAAGAAGTCCATTAGATTACTGAATTAATATGAAGAGCTAAATTCCAAATAAGTTTGTTATCAAATAGTACTTGCTTATTACAAAATTTTAATAAATCTGCATATATTTTAGATACTTCATTACTAGAATACTTTGTAGTAATAAAATTAGCTAATATTGATAAACAAATAGATTTATTATTTTTGCTTTCTTCATAATAATGCAGATCTAATATATATGCAATAGTCATTATAGGATTATAAATATAATTCTAACGAGTTTCAATATTTTATTTTTTATTTTTTTTTATTTTTTTTTTATTGGTCTAACAAGGCCTCGATGCTAGTTAATTTTTATTAAGTAGTTTGTAGGTTTGCATTGGTTAGTGAGAGTATAATTGGTCACACATATAACTTTTAATCATTGTCTATTTAAAGGTTTTACCTGGAGGTTATCTACTAATTGTTATACTTAGTATCCATTTGTAGATACTCTATTTAAACTCTCTGGTGTTTCCATTATCTCTAACATTTACCTAATTTTATTCTTAAACTTGCACAATCTTGTGCTGCCTCAATAAGGACCACTCAGACCAACCTTGCGCCTTAGTTTTCCTTATTAGAAAGGTTCTATCTCAAAGTACTCATTTATCCTCATCAGAAGAGGCTTGCAGAATACTCCAACTATACTATACTATATTCCAATTAAGCTAGCATATACCCTTATAGATGTTCATACAAACCTAGTTCCTACTGTGGCTCTCCATCAAATTAGTCTTCTATATATTCAGAAGTTTCACAAGTCAGATCTTTCCAAATTTAGTTAGCTGCTAAGCCAAGTTAGTGTTACTGCTAATGCAAGGCACTAGGCTATATTATGTAGCAGACTTACTCGCATCTGCTTGATCTGCAACCTTCATACATAGACTTCTTTTCTGGATTAAGCATTAACTAGTATGACTGTTGAAATCTGTACTATTTCATCTAATTCGAGATTTCTACTATGCAGGTCCTCTACTTATAGATTCTATCAAGATTTATTTATACAATATAACTTGAACATTTCGTTATACTTCTAATATCTGATTGATATTAGTGCAATATGATTTACAGGGTTACAACCTCCAGAAATAAACAGAGTTTACTGTAAGTTGAATACAAAGGTCTAGGTAATTATTCAAATTCGTTAACAGTGAGATTTGAATTTCAGACTTCTTATATAGCAGTCTGACAACCTAACTACTACACTAAGATCACCAGATCTAATATTTTATTAAATTTTAGCAGAATAACTACAATTAATTTTTTAAATTTCTGTTAAATTTATATCAAAATGAGAATAAACTATTGAAATAGTAGAATTATTAGCTTCAAATACTTTTAATACAATAGTAATTAGTTTAAGAATCTTAATGATTATATTAAAATTAGTCTAAAACTTATTATTTTATAGTTGTATTTTAATTTGTAAATTTAAAGTTGCTGTACTAGGATCAAAAAGCATTTGTTGAATTGCTATTTGTGATTTTACAAGAAATTTTATACTATCTAAGTATATTCTTCATCTTGTAAGTACTGAAATAACAAGTACAATTTTTTTATTATAATTTTCTTTTTAAATACATTTTAATTTAGCTATAGCAATATGATGATTTTTAAAAAATTTAATAACTGTTTTTGAATCTTCTATAATTAGTTTAATTTTATTAATTTTTAAGATATCACTAATTAAAAGATTAATTATATGTGAAAAACATCTAAGACAAATTATATAAGAGAATCTTTCTTCAATTATTCTCTATACTGCCTTCATATTTGATACTGTATCTGTAATAATTAAAAAAAATTTATGAACATCTATTTGTTCTATTTGTATAATAATTCATATAGCAAACTATTCAGCTATATAATGAGCTTTGCTAGAATAAATTGCATCATAAAAAAATAGTTTGAATATACAAATAATAAAGTTTTGAACTACCTCATATTTGATATTTGATCACTTATCTGAAACTATTATAATATTTTAAGCTTTATTAATTTTATCTTCAATTTCTTTTTTTATATCTTCATAAACTTTATTTAAAAGTTCTTCAGATAATTTTGCTTGACTAAGAATTTGAAATGATGAATGAAGTATATAAAAAAATTTTAACTAAAATGAATTTGTTAATATATTAAAAGGAATACTAGAAGCAAAAACTACTCTAGCAAATTTATATTCCAAATTTAATAGTTCATTATAATTCATTTTATCAATAAAATTATTGATAACTCTTTGTTTAGTTCTTTGCTCAAATTGATTAATTAAATTTAATTGTTGAAAATTTGTATTTTTAATAGTTTTAGCTGAATTATATGTATTTATACAGATATTAGTATGCTTTTGTATATAAGTTGCAAGTTCATCTTATATTTTTTAGACCAATATTTGCATTTTACAGATAGATAAAGTTGGTTTATTTTTTTTTGAATTTGTGAATTTGTAGGTGAAGAAATAAAATCTTCTTCTGTATCACTTAACTTTACAAAGCTATCATAATAAGATAATTTATTCAAAGATATTGAGATATCAAGTTGTATTGAATGATCACAAATCTTACTTTTTTGTAATATTTTATAAAAAATATAAATTTATTTATTAATTATAAAAAAAATTTATACTTTACAATATAAATTTTTTTTGCTTTTATATTTAACAAAATACTATTGAATTTTTTTTTATTATTGCTATTTTATTTTTAACAAACTAAATTTTATTAAAAAATATTTTAAATATATAAATTAAAACAAATTAATTTTTAGATTACTAATCTATTTAAATATAGTTCTGTAAGTTATTTATAAACATATTTATTTGTTTGAAATAAGTAGTTGTATTGACTAAATTATAATAATATACTAATTCTAATTATTATTATTTATATTTCTAAATTTAAATTATAATAATAAGAGTAAAACTCTTGTTAAATTCTAAGAGACTTATTATAGCACTTTGCAAAAAGATATGAACATATAATTTTTAAGCAGAGAATTATTAAAATTATTCAAATTTAAGAATTTATACTAAATAATATAATTATATATATATTATATTAATTCAAAATATTATATTATATATATATTTAAAAAATCTTTAAGGTTCTTTGAAATTATAAAATCTTCAATTCTTATATAACAAAATAATCTGCAGTATTTATACATATCTTTTTGCAAAGCATAATAATATTTCTATTATAGTATTAATAATTATTTGTTTTGCACTTATACATACACTGGTCAAATAAATTTATACTAGTGACCTATCAGCATATCAATATTCTGATATGAGTCTGATTTTAAACAGATATTTGGCTTAAATAGGATACCTTTCAGTAACAAATCAGATTTAAAAAAATCGATAGAGCTATTGGCATACCAATATAGCTATTATATAAATATTGTAATAAACTGATATTTAAACAATAGTCATATCAGTATGCCGATAGCTCTATTAGCATACTAATAGCTCTATCAATTTTTTTAAATTCAATTTGTTACTAAAAGGTATCCTATTCGAGCCAAATATCTGTTTAAAATCAGGCTCATATCAGAATATTATTATACTGATAGATCATGATATTATACTAGTATAAATTCATTTGACCAGTGATATAATTATTAAATTAGAATTTTATATATAGCAAGTTTTACTCTATTATATTATTAAGGTTTGCAAAATAATATATTTTTGATTAAATTTTTGTATATATATATATATATATTTTTTTTTTTTTTTTAATTCAGCAGTCATGCCATAACTTTATTTAGTTTTGTTTTTCATTTAAAAACAACATTATATAGTGATGTACTATCTAATGACTAATTTTTTAAGCTATGACTCACCCAGTTATTCTATGGATACCTATATGCGATCTGCTATAGTGACCTTTGTCCTATATTGAAACAATTTATAATATAAATTGTAAGTC